GCTGAAAGGGCGAGCATGTTTGGTGTGACAGGGATTCGAACCCGCGACCCTCAGATTGCGAGTCGTGTGCCTTAACCACCTGGCCATGCCGGGCCTGGCTATGACTGATTACCACACATTAATTTATACAGAAGTCCTACTAAACTTATTGAGTTATCTGTTTAATGAGAAGAATAGAAAAACATTTTACAGATTCATACAACAGTAAGAGAATTTGTGCTATGTAATTAAAACACATATATAGTACATAATACTTTTAACATATTTCCGTCCTTTATTTTCACACGAACCAAAACTTTGTTCGGATTTATTGTATTAAGCAATCGATTTTAGAAATACGAAAAGAAAATTCATCTTTTTGAGCGATAATACCCTATGGTCAACACTTAATAATTTTACAATATCAATACAAATTACGGTAAGGTCTCAACTCTATTATAAGTATGGTATGCTGGTATTTCACATCTAACTATCCCTAATTTCGAAATTTCTACAAGAGGGAGAGCAGCAAGCCAGCAGCATTCACCGCCTATTGGCTACTTTTAACCGATTTGCGGAATTGACTGTCATCTTACTATAAAGATTATCCATTATATGTGTCTTTTTTTCATCTGTGTTAACGTCCATTACCCAGAGTTGGCTGGCAAGATGACCCTAATTTTCGCTAGGGCAACTGGAAATTGTTCGAAGTTGTACAAGGGCCATTTTGTTTCAGGAATTTCGCCCGAGAAGGGGGATATACAGATACCCCTGAAATACGACAAATTTCCACTTTTTATAGACATTTCTCTTTGAATTTAAAGACACAAGTACTTAATCAGTTTAATAAATCTATTATTACTTCCCACAAAGCAATTAATACTTAACGGATATTAAAGGAAGGGGAACATTTCCTAATATTATCCATCATACAATATTTGCTTCCTTAACGGGTAACCTCAGCTAGTACTAATAACGCCCTAACCGCAAGTGCGAAAAGCATTTAGCGAAATAACGCGATTCTATCCTTGGACCTTTTTATTCACAGCCTTTCAGATAACGACTAAGTTACGCCTAGCCCACTACAAAAATAATGGCTGTTTGAGATATTAAAAAAATGCCTTGCTCAAAATAGCTCAGATTGTAGATTGGCATAGTGGAAGCAAGAGGTTTGATTTTAAGACATGCAGTGAGATTTGTAAATCCCGTTGAGTAACAGTATACACTACCCATCATCGAGCTAGCCCGAAGCCATAGCTCTCAGCTAACCATGTATGGCATATTTCATTTTACAATTATAGTTTGAAAAGAAGTTGTTCAGTTCATAGTCAATCGCGAATCGAGCTATTAACAAAGTTTGGCAAGCAGTAAATGTGATAGTTAACATTTCGTGCAGTCTGTGGCTTTCTGGAAGATTTTTGTTTGGAATCAGTATTGAAATATTTATTTAACAAATATATTCAACGTCTCCACGTTGTTATGTCAAATATGTGGAAAGCTCTTTCAATTATATGCAATGAAATAAGAAAGGTACTAAAATAAACATAAGGCCTAATATATCACTGGATTCACCTATTGTCACTGAATTTTACTGTTTTCGGCGAATTCTATCGTACACTGGACAAGGGCAATAACTAAAAGCAAGAAGAGGCTTCTTATAGTGATGAACTGTATATTATCTGTATGATGTTTTTACCTGTATTTTATTCACCACAGTGATTTTTTTTTGATACAATAATTGTTATTTTCAATCTGAAGGATGCCTTATGAGATACGTAGGCTATAAATCTTCATGTATGAAGATATAGAATTGGAGTTATTGATAATTGTCCAACTTCATTTAATGATCTGTAAATAATATGATTATTTTATACTTGAAACAGCTATTTAAATTTTGTACTTAAGTTACAAGCAATATAATTCCTGTAAAAGGTAAAGCAAACACTAGTAATAACTGAAATGTTGTCCGAAATGGTCAACTTTACTGAATATCATGAGAATTAACGTTTAGAATTAGATGCTGATAATGTTCCTGAAGATCTTGCTTACATTAAAACCTTTAATATCGTTCTAAGTGTTAGACTGTTTTCAAGAAATAACCAACAAGTGGTTGAAAAATGCTGGTTTATGAAAAATAATTTAACTTGTAGTTTAAGGTTGGATTTACAATACTAATTACTACGAAATTTTAGTGGAATTATTCGTTTGAAAGATTCGCTTACGCAGAAGTAATTTACCTTTAATGTAAAGAAGATATAAAATACTCAACCAGAAATCAGGTTTGGTAGTTTTAAAATCACCAGGAGGCGCTCTAGAGAATCGAAGACACAAGAACAAAATCTAATTTCTCTCATTTATTTTAGCTCTCAACGCTTGACAAATATATTACACAGTAAATAGTAACAACATGACTAGTCAAATATAAAAACCAACAACAAATATTTATGTTACAAAACAATTTAGAAAAGCAAAACATGTAAAATAAGGTAGAAGAAGTAAAACGTGTGGGCTCTCGACTCTGGATAAACTTCAAAGTTGAAACAATCCTATAGACACAGATAATCATGGGCAGGTTACAAGCTTTGGACGCAAGAAAAAATTTAGTGAATAAATATATATTTTTAACTAAATGTCTTTCCTCTTTATACATTGCAGCTCAGTAAATTTATAAACATACATAGAAAACCTAAGTTATAAATATCTCTTCGGAAAAAGTCGCAATAACAACAAATTTTAACAGAAGAAAATGAATTTCGTAAGCACATATATTTTTGAAAGACCACCCAAGTTTTATATACTTACTTTTCCATGATTTGCTAACTTCTTTATTACAATAATAGAAACATAAATAATTTGAAATGACAAGCAGTAGACAGCGATTGTCTCGAGACAATCATTTTTCAATATAATATGCAAAAATTTCTCGGGATTTAGGCCTCACGTTCTTTCTTTGCTTTTCTTTCATTTTCATTCCCCAAAATTGTTGCAATTTCTCCTTGCATAAAAGCCCAAGGAACATTAGATCCTACCAAAGGGCATTTGTGACCACTTGGACAATAAACCTCATTCCCATTGGCTTCGTTTTGACTTTTAATGCTCTCCCGAGAACAGGGAAAACAAAATTTATGGTTTTGCACTGAGGGGCATTGTACAAAATGTGTATCTTCCAAGCGTTCATTGCACAGTGTGCATTTTAACGCAGGAGCTGATTGCTGGGAGTCGGACTGTGTTGTAGATGCTGTAGTTGTTGATGTTGAGGCTGTTACAGCTGTTGCGGTACTATTGCTACTGGTTTCGGTATCGCATGTAGTGTTTTCAGAGTTTTGGCGCCCTCTAACTGGTGTTTTCTTTCCTGATACTGGAGAACGTCTGGTGGCGGAAGAAGGGCGGGAAGGTCTATTTACTTGAGAAGACATTTCTCCTCCCGAAGAGGCACTTCTTGTCGAATCCGAAGACAAGCAATCGCCGACAGACATCAATGATGCCATGGAATAATTTCCGTTCTGGATAGCGCCTTCTGGTGAGGATATTGTGCGGTTACTCAGAGACGATATGGAACTCAGTGAAGAACTGGGTGTATTTGCTATACTTGTGAGTCCTGTAAAACATTCGAAATGAAAAGATTGTCATTTTTCTGTTAATATTTTAATTAATAAAATCATTAAATGCGATCGCTAACTAACAGATAAATTTAACTCTATTTACAAAATAAGAACATATTTATTTGACCTTTAAAATGCTGCCAGTATAGTCTAATAATACTAAAAAGTATCTCAACCATATAAGTTGCAATACAAAAAGAAATCTGTATTAGATGTATCAAAATTTTCTATGAGTGTTTGTAAGGTTCATTAACTAATATCCAATAAACAATTATCAACGAACGAGAAAAGTTTTACTGTTTTCATTAACTTGCATAAGGTTCCTAGAAAAAATAAAAACGGTTTAAGAATTTCACCCTTGCTAGATGCCTGATTGGAACAAAAACGCTTTTTAAGAACTATTAGTATTTTAAAAAGTAATCACAGGCGCTAATTTAAAAGATTACTGATTTTTTCGAAGGTACCAGTTGCATGCTATGCGTCTGCTTCGTGCCATTGTTAATATCAAGCATTTACATTACAGACGAGTGGAAATGAAACATTACGTATTTGATGGTTAATATTGTGACTTGATTTGCATAAAATCTTAGATAAATTCAATTAGTTTATAAGTGAATATTTTGGTATTATATACGAACTTAAATAATGCAAAATACTGAAATAATCTACAATTGAATTATGAGAACATCATTCGCCTGCAAATGAAGTGAGGGGAGGGCATTTATAGGCATCTATGATCACAGTTCACATGTCAAGTTCGTTTTATTTCTGACATCCTAGCAAGAGAAAAAGTTAAACGAAATTTATCACGTTTTGGTTAACTTATTTGTGCCCATTTTGTGAAAACAAGTGAAGAACTCCATAATAAGTGGAAAAGTCGGGGTGACAAACTACGTTTAATTAAATAATATGAAATTTTCGATAAGGTATTTTCACATGGTCTGAGATTCCCGTCTCTTATTTATAAGGTACGCACAAGATAGGAAAGCGTAATCTAAATTACTGCTATATCCGGACCAAATACATGAAACAAAAACCCTTTATGCCAAGTGTGTATATTATACCAACCGTTAAGCCTGGTTTGAAAAATATTTGTTTCGTAGAACTGTGAGCTATTTATCGTTGTCAAAACAAAACATCCAGATGGGATCAATGTTTACTTAGCCTGATCTATTTGGATATTTCACCTTTTTTGTGCTTAAGCCTTTCAGCCGAAAACTATTCATATACCAGCACCCGGTTTTGCCCCTACAGCACAGTTCAACCTTCATAGGGTCAGATAGGAACCTAATGAAACCTAATTTCCTTAACTATTCTTCATCAGCTAAACACATCTTGTTGAAGTATGCTTTACAATTGTTTTGCTTAATACCGTATATCAGTCCATTGAAAACATCATACCAAAGTATGTTGTATATCAGATTATTAAAAAAACATCTTGCTAAAGTACATGGGTATATTAAAACCACTATGATTTTGACACGAATTAGTGTCACAATATCGACATATAATGCTAGTGTATATTTGTTTAAGAATGTCCGTAACATATACTACTTTCTAGTGTTGGATATGAACAAGTCCAAATAAACGAACGCTTATAAATATATAATTTTATTCGTGTTAAGTTGTGTGAAATAGTTTCGGTGAAACAAATGTTCTACTTACCCGATGAAGGAACAGCCCCAATTGTTTTTAGCTGTGTAGCTGTGCCTGAATCGAAGGAATACATTCTCCCCACTAAGGCGTTCTCCTTTTTGAAACGATTGTATGATATACCTAGAACAGCTGTTGGAAGGCTCTCCCCTCTGATCAGCTGAGGTCTAATTGTCTGATCATTGAGATGTGGCCGTTTCTGTCCATTCTCGGATCCACTAGAGCTATCATCATCGTCACTTGGTCTTTTAATTGGAATGGAACTTGCCCGACTACCGGCAAGAGACACAGCAACATGTAATGAAGGAGGAACAAGAGACAGTGATACAGGCAGAGACCTGCCTGCCAGATTTGGACTACAGCGATGTCGAGTAACATTTGTTGGATCAAAGGTCACATCTTCTGTCCTTTGATGGCCAGATATACGATAATTATTATGGTCCAACAAGGCTCGTGTTCGGCTTTCTGGTGCAACGAACCTTTCTGAAGTTGTTCCGTTAGGGGAGGGAAACATGACTGAACTATCGCTACTATTGCTTCTACAAGGCAGTGACCCCTGATGACCTTTAAAAGTCTTAGTATCTTGAAAACTATGTGCACGTTTCATCTGACGAGCAGTTTCTATAACCAGTTCAATGCGGTCTGCTCCTTCATAATTAACACAGCCGCGGCACACTGGTTCCGAAAAGTCATGCAGCATTGCCCAGGGCATCCTGGGCAGATCACACAAATAACACTGTTGACGTTGGCCTCGAGAGAGACCCGACATTTTTATCATTGATCAAGGTAGTGTTTACCTCAAACAGCGAACAACGAAGGCTTCCTTCCTAACTTGATAGCGTCTCTGTTTGATAAGCTCCGCTAGTGCAACAGACAGAATTTACACAGTGATTGTCAAAGGAAAAGTACACCAACCTACTGGCTTGGCGCATGCGTACTTAAAACTAAATTTCATGATGTCAACATCAACATAGACACCTAGTGGAAACGATGTTAGCCACGCTTCGGCTATGTAGTCATGCCCTGTTAAGTAGTACGTGAGGTTAGAAACATACCAGTCAGATGGCGCTACATAAAGGGTGTGACAGCGTTCGAGTACATTAATGTTAAATGTTCAAATACGTAAAGTTTTGGCTGAGTTGTTGTTTCAACATCATACAGAAAGAATTTGAAATCGGACACTTTTCCAGAATTAAAAATGAGTATTGTTTTTTTGTTTGTAATTATGCACAAAGCTACACAATGGGCTATCTGTGCTCTGCCCACCACGGGTATCGAAACTCGGTTTCTAGCGTTGTAAGTCTGTAGACATACCGCTGTGCCCATGGGGGGGGGGTGAAAACGAGAGCTAAAGATATATTTAATGTTATTGCTACTTCTTGATGATTTCGAGGAAAACCGGTTTGATAAGCATGTAATTAATAGTGTTTTACTACATCCAATAAATTGTTTAATCAGAAAATGTCAATGAATTTAGTACGACGACTATGTGCATAAATATCAGTTCTCTGTAAACTTCTTAGGAGTTGAGCTTTAAAAATATAAAATAGGTTGTTTAATTACGTTACAGCCATGGCAGAACGAAAAGATCTGGCACGAGTCCAAACGATTACGAAGAGCCCTGCTGCTGGCTCAGCCATGCTTGTGACGTCACAATGTATTGATTATCATATGTTTGTACGTATCTCGGTTTGTGTTCGGTTCGAGCACAGAGAGCGGGAACCCTCTAGGAGTATAACAATCAAATCTTGAAAAAATCAATAGCCGCGCTTGTTGGTTTCTACACTGTTTTTCATTCGTTGTTTACTTACTTATTTGCGAATAGAAAATATTATCTAGATCACTACAAAATGAATATATGTTCACATTGATCATCATGGCTTGCTTCTGACGTGGTATTTATCAAAGTAAGTGAATGTATATTTAGCTTATGAAGAACATTTGATAAGTATATCGACCAAATTATTATTGTTATCACAAGAAAGGCTGCAGAAAAAAAGTTATTCTTATCAGAGCTTGTTCGAACATTTTGCGTGCGCTGTACCTGATTGTGCGCATATCTTTCAATGATTAATCAGGCAATCGATACACAACATTGTCAGGTTAGAGGTACTAACATCTGCGCAGAGCAAGAGTTACAAACCGGATTCTTGTAGTATAAAGCACGATGTTTCCCCCTTTATTAGCGTAATAGAAAAAAAATGTTTTTCTTTATTATTTTAAAATCCCCCCTGAAAACTTATAACGCTAAAACCCGAGTTTCGATACCTGTGGTAGGCACAGCACAGATAACTTATTATGTAACTTTGCGCTTAACAATAACATTTGCTGCTTATCATATTTCATTGCTGTTTCAGAAAGTCTTGCTTATCAAATAGTCTATCTAACATGTGCAATGCAAAAAGGGAACGAGTAAATGACGTTATTTATTTGCAAAATCTATAGTTTTAATACACTTTCTCATGCATAATTTTACGAAATATAATATCTGGTAAAACATCATTTGTTAACACAAGTTAGTTAAAACGTAACTAAACAACATTTAATGGCTGTCTGCCTTACAATATTACCTTTTTGTTTATCACTGTTATGAAGTAACTTTAATGCTCAGATCCGTCGGATATTATAATATTATATCCTTGAAAATAATAATGGAAACTGAAGTATAAATGTATAAAACTGTTGATTAATTTAATTCGTGTCATGTGAAATACGCTAGTTATTCGTTTCAAACCCCGTTTAGAAAGCTATAACTGCATTGCTCAATCTCGTGATAAAGACCCATAACCAAAACCATGATTAAATAAAACAAACATTCTAAAGAAAAACGGCATTATTCTAAATAAACTGGATTTGAGTTATTTCTTTCCTTTTTTCTTTGATACTATTCTCAGATATTATAATATTCGACGGATCTGAGCATTAAAGTTACAGTGAAAACAAAAAGGTAATATTGTAAGACAGTGTAGTAGAACGAGAATTCTTACAAAAAAAATTAAAGAATAGAGTGAAGACTACTAATAACATTTAAACATAATTCGTCTTTAAATATCTTTCTGAACTCAACTTGTTCATTAATTTAAAAGTGATTTTAGGAAAGTATGTCCATGTTGTTTTTCCACTATAAGTAGCATTTAATGATAGTTTCTTGTTTCAGCATAAAGAAATTTGGTTTCTTTGTTTTGTAATTAAGCACAAAGTTACGCAATGGGCTATCTGTGCTGTGCCCACCGCGGTATCGAAGCCCAATTTACAGAATTATAATCTATTAGATTTATTGCTGAGCCAATGTGAGGTGCATGACGAGGCAAATCGTAATTAAGTAGCATAACGTTCTAACGTCGTGGTTTTATCTTGAACAATATTGTTACGTTTCCGTTTTTTAATTGATTTTTTCGTAACTTCGTTCCGAGGAAATTTTAACGACACAAGCCTTTACTTAATAAAACTGGTTTATTCTTTCCGAATATAACTTAACCGATACACTCAACAATCGCGCTAAACAAACGCTATAGCAACGAACGTCAATAATACTCCGACCGCAGATCAATTACTCACTGTCTCTGCCCCCACACACATTACCTTCCCCGCTTTTATACCA